AAAAGGAGGGGGGGCAAATTCCCTGTTAATATTTTTAATTTCAGAAGCAGGTATCCACAAACACTGGGACATACAGCGTGCCGGCTGCCACAAATGAAATCTGCAATATTTTGAGTGTTACCTATGAGCGTAAGGTTAACATGCTAACATAAAAAGCAGCAATGATAGGCCTGTTTGATTATAGAAAGTATCAAGAATTATCCTTTAACAACATTACTGCCAGCATTCATTCTGTCAAGAAAACAGTAGTTAAATTGTTGAACGGCGACTTCCGTACCATGTCATATTTTCAAGTAAAATGCAGTGTTAGGGTGGGTCTCTGAGCTAGCTTAGCGTTTTCCATTGATGGCAGGTGGGGGTGTTGGAAGGGGGAGGTGAAACATGATATAATTGGTTAGTATTTTTTTCCCTGTCCACTGGTGTATGGTGATGTAATCAACACTGGGGACGAAAAAAGCACTGAGGATGTTTTTCATTACAAAATATGATCAAAGATTACAGGAAAAGAAGACTTTTTGTCTTTTAAATGATATAGAATGATCGGAGACATAAACTAATGAGGTAAAAAGGTCCATTTCAATTTTTTATTTTAAAATTCACTACAGCACATCATAATTGATTAACTGCTGATTTATGAGAGAATGGTTTTGGGCATTAAATGTCAAGACTGTAACCAAATTTGGGATAAATATGCTTTATGCACCAAGTTAAATGTGCAGGTCAATGGCAGAGCATGAGAACTTGAAATTCTGTTTATTATTCATAGTAGATACTCAGCACTAGTCATGCTGAGCACTGTTTGGTGTGCTGATTACAGGAAAACAAGAATTTTTGTCTAGTAGTTGCTATAGATTGACCAGATACATTAAATAATGAGGTAAAGTAATGCATCATAATGGCATTCCTGTCTGTTTTAAAATGATAGCCACACCTCCGCACCCCATTTTTAGAATGGAGATGTGTGGTCACTAGTCCTATCCAGCCAAACATTAACCTGTTTGATTCATCTTACTCCCTGTGCTCTTTGGGACAGAGGCTTTTGGAAGACTTAGGACCCATTAAGTGTATGCATCTGCAAGATCCCATCAGCACATCTGGCTGGGAAAACACTAGCATACAGACCATGCTTCTGGACAACAAGCAGCCAAAGAGTGGCATCCTGCCACCATGTGAGAGCTGCCAACAGTGTGACAGTAACTACTATGTTGTGTGCTACACAGATTCTTCTCATTGCCAGGGGGAACATTTCTCTGTCAAATCTCAGCCTTACTCACATCATGTGTCAAACCCTGAAAGTGTGCACAATTATATTTTAATGTGAAAACGATACAAATTATAGCTTAAATGTGTCATACTCTACCCTCCAAAACATTCCTCAAGCTAATTAAGGATTGGGTTCATGATGAGGGAAATAGGTCATCTTCTACACTTTTTCCAAAGCAAGCTATGCAAAAGGCAGACTAAACCTGTAATATTGTAATATTTTAGATGTATTAGCAAAGTTCCATCAACAAATGGCACATACAATCACTGTCTTGCTGGCTGGTTGTTTGTGTTTTGTAATTTGGCTCAAGAAGGATCTTTTGACAGTCCTTCTTCAGAAAAATCTGTATTTATCAGTGTAGCTCCAAATGTATTATCAGTGTCAGCCATGAACTCTACTAATGATTGCAGCCAATTTATGAATCCTTGATGCTCTTTCAGAGAAAATAAAATCCTATAAGACTTTACAGTTTTAGCCTATTCGTTTTTATGCTCCATTGAAGCATGCTTCCTGAGTATGTTAAGCGAAAGAACTATGATTTACTGAAGGACAGTGCCATAGACTGTGGCAATCAGCAGACATGCAAGCAAGAACTCTGTGAATCACTGTGCTGTACCACCATCTACTGGTTTTGCTGACAGTATTGAGGTTGCAGTCTGTAAAGTTTATGATTTGACTAGTAAGAGCAGTCATGGTCATAAATGCTTCAAAAAACCTCTATACTAAACTAGTCCCATTCATCCATATATAAATATTAAAACTTTATTTTGAAATGGTGCAGTGCACGGAGAATAGATCACTATGAATTATAGTTGTTCAAATTGGAATATTAAAAAAATGTGCTCGCTCAATGCTAACAGTATAAATCTCTTATGAGAATATTTATTTAAATTGTGAAGTTCGTAGACTCATGAACAAACTCTCTTTATTTGGTAATATGTACAGCATGATGATGAAAGTTTAAAATAAATCTAAACAGATTATCAGTATTGCCCAATTTAATCAAATCTAAATGCAATATATCATTACGTTACCAGAATTATATTCACTCTGCAGCAGTTTTCTTTCATGAATATGTGGTGTAATATAAGTTATTTTGCCAGCATTCCATTAATTGCTAATTTATGAACGAATGGTTATAGGCATTAAATGTCAGGACTATAACAAAATTTGAGACAAATGTGCTTCATGCACCAAGTTAAATGTGCAGTGAGTGAGAACTTGTTGTTCATGGCATCTACTCAGCACTAGCCATGCTGAGCATTGTTTGGTGTGCTGGAGTTATACCAGAGGAGAACCCCCAGGGCCTTTTAGGCCTTCAATGAAAGCCTAATGATTTTTGGGAATTAAAAATGTATGTCTGTAATTTTTAGTTCATTTATATTCAATAGAATCATGCTTGTATTTAAACTCTGCAAGTATGAGTACTCTTATTTCTGTATTATGTTTTAATGGAAATTAAAGGGTTAAATCCTTGGAAAATTGGCCGATCAGGTTTTTTTTTCTTGGTGTCTAGGTAGATATATTTAAACAAGCTTTCATATTGGTTAGGACTTCAAAAGCTGAAGAGAAGACTTAAGTAACAGAGGAATCAACCACTCATGTTTTGATTTCCAATAGGCGGGACAAATTTATTGAGAAAAAATGTCATTATAGGCCTAGTTTTAAATCACTGACTGTGACAATGAATGGCAGCCTATTTATTGGGTTCTTAGAAGTGGAAAACAGCAGTGGCAGCTCTACACCAGAACTCTCTACTGAAAGAGTCACTGTGACTGTGAACTGCTGCAATGTAAAATATTTGCTGATATGTCTGTCACAAGCTTCAAGTAAAAGAACAATGCAATGTCTACTAGAAGCTGAAACTGTCTGTTTTTATTCTAGAACTATCAGTGCCATTGCACCCTCTGTAGTTACGCTGCTGCTTTAAACAAAATTCCATGCCTTTATGAGCTACTTGTTGATCTAATTTATCTGTTAATCTACTTTTTTAATCTTAAAGGAATGGTTGAACATTCTTCCACAGGAAAAGCAAAAACACATTTTTTCCAGTTTTGGGAGAGGATAGAGCAAAACATCCAGTGGGCTTCCATGGCTACCATAAGGAATAAACTAAGATAGCACAGTTATGTTTATAAACGCAAAACATTCAGTGGGCTTTGCTGTCTACTTGGAACGTATCCTGGAGATGTGCAAATAGGCAAGAGTCCAAAGATACCCTTCAGCTACCACACTGCCAGAAACTAGAGTCACTGTAAATGCCTAGATATATAGATACCGACTACACAGAATTTACAGGTGTTTTTATTACAAAATTAAAGTTTTCGTTGGTATTTGTTTAAATGCTTTTCAAAGAGATTGATCTTCAGTCTGAATTTGGAGGGAGCAAGGGACTCAGATGTCCAGACAGCCAAGAGAAGTTAATTCTGTCATCTGCTTGCCAGTATGGAGTCCATGAATCTCGAGAGGAGGTAGTTCAAGCTGAACATGAAAAAAAAACATACTGTGCATCATAGTGAGCTTAAAGCCTTTATTCTATGTCAGTGTTTTTCATTAAAAAGATTATAAACAAGAACATTGGCCACATAATGGAAATCATGTTTTTGAGTAGAGAGAAATACCTGATAGGTGAGTATTACACAGGAAGTGAAATTCATTCATACTTTTCAGGCTGCACTTGAACACTCAAATCCTAACTGATCTATTGTTAAACACACCCTGTACATTTATTTTACACACTGTGGATAAGTATATTTAACATTAATAAGGAATAATAAGTGCATTTTTTATGATACCTGTTGCAGACATATGCCACCTGATATTGTTGTGAATATTCAACACAGTTGACATACTATGTATAATATATATTATACAGTTGGTGACTGTGTATTTATGTTCAATGTATTGTTTTTTGCCATGTCTATTATGTATTGCCCATTTGTGTTTTACTGTAGCTGTAGTGAGGAACATCCTAGTCCTAAAGGATTAGTTAACCAGCATCAAACATCGCCCCCTTGCTGTTGATTCATGCCTATAAAAAGTCTCTCATTATTATGCAAAATCTCTCTCGGGGAAAAAAAAAACATGAAATCATTGATTGTCTCAATTATTTATTTATTAGTTTCATTCTGAGTAATTTGGTCATCCATATTGTAAAAAATGCAGGAGTATTCCTTTATCATAAAGAAATAGTTTGACATTTGACATAAAAAAAAACCCCCAGAAACTATATATATATATATATATATATATATATATATATATATATATATATATACATGTATATATATATATATATATATATATATATATATATATATATATATATATTTGTGTTTTCCTTGCTCTAGGGATAGGGTTAGAAAATACCAACACTTAATGTAGTTTTGTGCCAGGGAAATAGCTAGCTCTACAACCATACATTCTTTAAAACTGTTTTCTTTTATGTTTTGTTTTTCATTATTTGTTTATTTCATTTTATTTATTTATTTATTTATTTATTTATTTATTTATTTATCTTTTTTCCCTTTTTTAGTTAACGGAATTGCCCGACTCCTTTAAAACTGACATTATAATCGCTCAGAGTCATATTTAAAGGTTAAAATGCTTTAAGACTTTTACTATGTAACAGAGAGAAACACAGAGCGGACGTTGCGCTTCACATGACCTCAGATCCCCTCATTCTGTGAATGTTTTGATTTGAATTTAACCAACCAAAAGTAGACGGGGGCGGGTTTTCACAAGGCAGAGGGATTTTCGAAAATGTGCAGCAATTGAACGACGCGGTGGCTTCGAATTCTGAAGAAAACTGTATTCTGTTGTAGAGCATTACAGGCGGAATGAAATCAGCTCGGGTGTAGAATCTCTCACGTTCCTCGCTCTCGTTCGACGCTCCACCAGATATCTGGCGACTGAATTCATTTTGGCGTTGCCTTTATCACTATCGCAAACACACACCTTTCTCAGATGGGACATATTTACTCAGATGTTTAATCAGACAGCGCTTGCAAATGCGCAGCTTGCAACAGTACTAGCAACAGTTAGACAACTAACTTAAAGATAATTTACTAGCTAACCTACGTATTATGAGGAGAAATGTAGCTAGCTAGAACGCGAGTAGTTGACTGTGGCGAACAGATATTTTGTTATTATATTTTACAAAGCTGTATTTTGTGCGTTTTAATGTTGTAAGCTAGCTAAGTCTTACCACGCAGCCTTTATCCAGGTAATGTTAGCGATATTAAAATGAAGAAGACGACGAAGAAGTGTGCAGAGGAACTGGAGGACGCTATCAGCGAACGTACGTTATGTTTTTAGCTTTCCAGCTAACGTTAGCTAGCTAGCTAACTGGCTAAAAGTATCGCAGAAGTTAAAACCGCCTGAAGACAAACTTATTAGGTTACGTAATTTGTGTATATAGAAAACTTCCTCGACATTCTGCGTTTATTTCGAGTTCAAGTATGGAACATATAGCTAAAAAACAGAATTTGGTTTGTGTCTTGTGTTTGTGTAGTTTGTGTACTGTGTAAGCGACGTGACAACTGCCCAGACAAATATGGAGAGAAGATCACACTCCAAGAGCATAAAATCACAGTCCATTATTTCTGCTTGGTAAGGATTTTATGTGCATTGGCTTTACTGGGTTAATAATGGTGCATACAATCAGTACAGTGAATTAACGTTATATGTTCCTTTCGTGTTGCAGTTGATGTCCAGTGGGATATTCCAGAGAGGAGAAGAGCATGAAGGCATTCATGGTTTTCTTGTGGACGATATCAGAAAGGAGATTCGCAGATCTGCCAGACTGGTAAATTAACACTTAATCGCAGATAACTGATTTGTGTGCTGTGAACCTGTCAGATCATTATGTAAGTGTTTCTTGGGTAAGAAACAACTTTTTCTCTCCTTTTTATGCAGCGGTGCATGGGCTGTAAAAAGGCAGGTGCTTCAGTCGGATGTTCCATTAAAAGCTGCAGACAGATGGTCCACTTGCCTTGTGGAATTGAACAGGAGTTTATCTTCCAGTTCACTGACTTATTCCCGTAAGTGGATTAATGTTGGGAATGCATGTAGACAGCTAGGCAAAACGTTCAAACTTCTTTGCATCATGAAATCTATGGGCTTTAGCTTGCTGCTCTTAAGTTTAGACTGCATGATTGTCATCTCTGCTCCTCGCCCCAGTATTGTAGCCTTGGGAAACAAGTTCTGCTTGGTAAATATATAAAGGTGCTTGCATTCTGTTTTTTAATGCATCCTAAGTAATTTTTAATGGTTTTAAAGAAATGTTCCAAGTGCTGCTACTCATACTTCTGGTGCTGATAAATATGAAATGAGGGCAGTTGATAGAAACAGAAAGCCAACAATGTGACTTTCAGTCACATTACAAGGAAGCTTTGGGTGTTCCTAACAGTGTTACGTTCTTGCAGCATAACACATATGCAGTGCCTCATGAAAGTTTTGGTCGTCCTTGAAATTTATTGATGTTGTATGGATTACAAATTATACATCGTTTTATTCTGTGTACTTAGAGATATATTCTCGAAGTTTTTAAATCCAAAAAAGTAGAGATTAGAAATAGATTCCCTTCAAAAATCAGCCTGCAAGCAAAGCGTAGACTTGTCAAAGAAGCCATGGATAGGAAAGGAGGAGCAACAGAGCACATTGGCTGAAAGTGGAATAAACATGAATATCAAAAGCTTTGCATGAAATATACTTATGTGAAAGGTTGGTAAGAAAGAAGCCATTATTCAAGACATATGAAAGCCATTTTGCCATAATGCATGAGAGTGATCCAACTAAGATATGGAACATTGTTTATGGTAAGATTTGACCAAGACCGAACTTTTTGTTCGTGGTGGTGCCAAAATTTTATGACAAAACAGAATACAGGGAAATACTGCTGAAGCTTTGAAGAAAAGCTCTCTCACAGAAAGTACATGAAACGGTTATGAGTATACAGCCAGATGCCTGGGTCATTGTACATTAGTCTTCTGAGAAAGTTTTAACCTTTAACTTCTTTTTTTAAAATTGATTCATAGCGTAGAGGTAATATGCAAGGCATTCTGAGTCAAATAAATTATATTTTTCAAATGTATCCTTTTACAATGATCAACATTACATACACAAACCTAGACACATGTAAGTTCACTGGTCATTTTGAATAGTAATAAAAAAAAAAAAGGCTGCATTGTAGTATTGTAGCCATTGCAACATCGGTAAGTTCCTCTATATTTAACCATTTCACATCAAACCACTCTGAATGCCTTTGTTCACATCACAATTGAATTATGCAGATGTGGTAGTATGGTGGAATTTCCATTTAATATGTGAGGATTCGAGTACTTTTGTGACTAACATGAAGAATAAGTATCTTATTAAGGCCACCTTAACTGGTTGAAAGAACATTAGTAGTAGAACATGAGATTACAATAGAAATGTTTGTTGGACAAATGTGTTTTGTCATTTGTGATCCAAAAAAATGTTAAGAACTCTCAAGAGGGTTGAAAGCATTGTACATTTATCCATATAATTTAGATCTAACATTAGTTGTTGTTGCAGATCTTTCTGCAGAAAGCACCGCCCCACTCAGACCTGCTCTACCAGCCCCACTCTGCCTCTGTGCTGCTCCATCTGCTTGGAGCCCATTGAGCCTGTTTTGTCCTACTCTGTGCTCAAGTGCCCTGCTTGTCATGGAAGCTGGTTTCATAGGAACTGTGTTCAGGTAACCCTAACAGAAACTTAAAATATGTACACTTATAGATCACTGTCACAAACAGAAAGATTCTAAATATAGAAAATATTATTTTTGCTGCTCCTTATTTTTTTCCCCCCTTAGTTTCAGGCACACAGTGCTGCAATGTTTTTCTTCAAATGTACCCTGTGCAGCAATAAGGATCAGTTCCAGCAAGAAATGCTCAGAATGGGAATACACATACCAGAAAGGTATATGTTGTTTGTTTATAGGGTATGCAAGTCTGTTCATCTGAAATAGTTTTTTCATGGAATTTCTCTTAAAGAGATGCCTCGTGGGAACTGGAGGAAAATGCTTACGGGGATCTATTACAAGTGTACCAGCACTGTGATGCTGTGAAATGTTCATGTGATAGGGGTCGCAGTTATAGTGCACAGTCAGGGTAAGCAAAAGAAAGGTTACAGTATGTTTAAACTGGATTTCTATGTACCACATCAGTACTGTGCTTGAACAAGGCATGTATTTCATTCATTTGATCTGTTTTGTGAAATGTAAGTATATGTTTAGATGAAATTTGTAACTTCAGAATAAAACATTGTAATTTTATAATTTAAATGAATGCTGTAAGTATACTGTGTGTGTGTGTGTGTGTGTATATATATATATAGATAGATAGATAGATAGATAGATAGATAGATATATGGATATAGATATGTATGTGTGTGTAATCTCAGATTAATTATTACATGGGTTGCTTTGCAGTTTTGAAACTTAGCACATATTACACTTTGACCTTTGTGCTCATATCCTCACAAATGCTTTTCAGTAAATGGATGAGACTAGACCTAAAATAAATATCTAGGGTAAATTACATAAAGACAAGAACACAGAAATTGTCTTTGGTTCATTCAGAAGAGAATTAAATTCTTAACAGGACTAAAACATTCACTGATGTTAAAATTGTGGTCTAATAGGGGTTATGAGATTGTTCGGTGTAAGTTCTGCGGATCCAGTGGAACCCATCGAAAATGTTCCTCCCTCAAGCTTTATGAGACTAACTGGAGTTGCAGTGACTGCAAAGCTGCTGCTGAAGGAACAGGTGAGCTCAGTCTGTGGGAATTTTATTGCAACCCATTTGTTACTTTAACTCACTTGAAGCGATGATTTGGAATTCTACATGTTCCCCTTCATAGAAGATGATTAATCCTTGACCAGTATGTAAGATTTATGATTATTACTTGCGCTTTTTGTGGCAAAATATTTGAAAATGTTTAGTTGTCTATTTTGAATAATGGGTTTTTATTTCAAAGTTTTCAACCTTTATTGTCTTTTTGTAGCAGTGTCTCCATTACCAAATCATGTTAAATCACCACTGGCAGAGAGGCAAGAGAAGAAAAGACTGTTCAAAAGATGTCTCTCCAACCTTCACTCTTCACTCATCTCTAAAAGGTACTTTTGCAAACTATTTGTGGTTTTTGAAATTAGATTTTGAATGGCCGCATGCCCATTGGAGAATGTGGTGCATCCGGCGTGTTGGTTTAGAGTCTTATATAATTATATAACTTAATATTTTACCTATTCAAAATTTAGTGAAATTATCAGAGGTGAGGGATTTTTCCCCCCAATAAACTCTGTTAAAAAATGAAATAGAGATTTGTTTGTTCATGCCAGGCGCTGTTTGGATGCAAGTCCCGCAGAGATCTTAATGGATCTTGCCACTCAGATAACACCGCAGCGAACCACAGCAGTGCTGCTGGAAAATGATGAGGTCCTTGAGGCTGCCCTGCAGGCTCTGCGGCAGACTGACTTCAACCCTTGCCACACACTGTCTGTGAGCTTTGCCAGAAGCAAACGGAGTGAAAACGTGGCAAACCAGCGCCGGTTCCTCAGCCGCCTCCTGCAGAGCTTGCAGAACTCAAGCATTTTTGAAGGCCCTGAGGGAACTAAAAACCTGGCTTTGAATTCACAAGGTAGTATTATATAACCTCATTGAATGTTGATGACATTCTTCAACAGATTAATTGTCCATTTTATCAGCTCCACTTACTATGTAGGTGCATTATGTAGTTCTACAATTACAGATTGTAGTCCGTCTGTTTTTCTGCATACTTTGTTAGCCCCCCTTTTACCCGGTTCTTCGGTGGTCAGGACCCCCACGGACCCTCACAGAGCAGGTACTATTTGGGTGGTGGATCAGTCTCAGCACTGCAACACTGACGTGGTGGTGGTGTGTTAGTGTGTGTTGTGCTGGTATGAGTGGATCAGACACAGCAGTGCTGCTGGAGTTTTTAAGGGGGCTTACAAAGTATGCAGAGAAACAGATGGACTACAGTCTGTAATTGTAGAACTACAAAGTGCACCTGTATAGAAAGTGGAGCTGATAAAATGGACAATGAGCGCAGAAACAAGGAGGTGGTCATAATGTTATGCCTGATTGGTGTATGCTCACAAGCCACTTTGTTAGGAACACCATTCTAAAGGCCCAGGGTGTGATTTATTCAGCTGTCAGTAAATTAATTTTAACACTGTTTAACTGATTTCTTGCATAAGAAACACAATTTTTCGGACAGCCAAATGCAAACTTATTTTATTCGCCATCTGTTACATTTTTGTAAACTTTCATTAACTCAGCGCAGTTGACCAATCACTGTTGGCTTTGGTATTTGCATAATGACAGTCAAGATGACTGATCAGCTGTGTACCTGGCACTGGAAACTTTCTAAACAAATGACATGATGATGGAAGTTTGTCTTCTGCTTCACTGTGGATGTTGGCATCTCCAAAAGCAGCTCAGACCTAAGCTGTGTGTGAAACCAGTTGCAGGTGCTTTAACTTACATTGTAGAAGACATTCCTGTTTGTTTTTGTTTTTGGTCAGGCAAACATGGTCTCCATGTTTTTGTTTAATTATGTCCAAATATTTTGCATTTTTGTGTTTGCGTCTCATACAGTGTTGCATGACCTAATTTAGAGATGGATGGTTTGATTCGCTGTCGATATCGGTAGATTTTCGGCACCGATATGCGATCGGCCAATTTTCTTAATTTGGCCAATCCTGAGAGCTGATCAATGACTTTAATACATATGAGCCATATTTGGTGAGTTAAGGACTGCTGCATTACTGCACAAGCTGCATTTTCTGCATTGCACAAATGCGTTAAAAATCAAGACTCCAGTGCTATGGTTGCAGCCCAAACAAACGTGCGTCAGAATGGCACCAGAACTCTTGCATGTAGCAGAGTGCAAAAGCTGACTAAAAATGTGGAGGTTAAAGATAATACATTGCGGGCGAGAGCTGAAAGGCTGTGAATGACGGTGCATACGCTACAGTGACTGTTATAACCTCAGTTCATTCATGCCTTTTTAATTATAGGCGCAACAAGCAGAAGTAGATCCTCAAATTCCCCCACTGGCCTCTGAAAATTCCTGCAGAATTGCTAGTTATGCAGCTTCAGCTAGCTCTTGTAAGAGGTGGCAGAACTTCCTGTGGTGTGTGTGGTGTGCTTCGGACATGTGAATAGGCATTAACACAGTCCAGACCCACCCTCGATCAGTATTGGCATTGGCCAGTTGTGCTGAAAGGCAATTGGCATCGGCCCCAAAAGCACTGATCTGTCCATCTCTAACTTTAATACTGGGTTGTTAAAACAGCCTGAATTCTTCATGGCACGGATTGAACAAGGTGCTGGAAACATTCCATAATTGCTTCAGATTTAATTCAGATCTGGTAAATGGGGAGTCACTAAAATGCACTAAACTTATTGTCATGTTCATAGAATTAGTTTGAGATTGAGACTTGTGCTTGTGCATCATCATGCTGGAAGTAGCCATTAGAAGATTGTAAATTGTAGATTACTGTTCTTGGCTAACAGCAATGGAACCCAACGTGGTCTTCTGCTCTTGTAGCACATCCACCTCAAGGTTCAGCGTGTTGTGCGCTCAGAGATGCTTCTCTCCTCATGACTGTTAAATAGAGTGTTTAGTTGAGTTCGTCAGCCCGAGCTACACTGTCCATTCTCCTCTGACTTCTGTCATTAACAAGGCTTTTCTGCCCAAAGAACTGCCGCTGGATGCTTTACACACAATTCTGTGTAAACTCCAGTATTATTTTGGATCGCATGATTGCATAATTTAGGTGTACAGGTATTCCTAATAAAGTGGCCGGTGTGTTTATTTTGAATTTGTTTACTGTTTTGCTACTGGTCTAAGATTTGAGTGCACATGTAGAAAATGTATTGAAATGTATTGTTTCTGAGAAAGTGTTCTTTGTTAACAATGGTGTTCCTGTGTGCAGCACTGAGGGATGATTTGTACTATGAGACTGGCAGTCTTCTGGCCCTCTCTCTTGTCCATGGAGGCCCTCCTGTGGCCTTTTTCTCTCCTGCCCTCTACCACAGTTTGTTCCATTACCCACCTGATTATAAGCTCACTGTTGAAGACCTGGGAGATGTCATTTTAACAAACAAAGTCAAAATGGTGAGTCGTACTGTTTATACGCATACATAGTTTATAGAAGCCTTGTACTTCTGTAAATATTAATGCCTACATAGAGGTTTTGTTGTCGCTGTTATCATTTTGCTTGGTCTTGTAATACAAACTAGACTCCTCTGTTTCAGATAGCAGAATCAAACTCATTATCAGAGTTGAAGAGAGCAGTGAGGGCCGCATCTGAGTATTTGCATGTGGCAGGCTGCTGGCGACGGGTCAACAAACTGGCTGATAAAAACATGCTACTTGAGGACATTCTGAACTTTTACCTAATCATCAGAATGCAGCTGCCTCTTCAAAGGTTAGCTATTCTTACATTAAGAATTCAGTATACTATGTTAGTAGGTAATAAATTAACTCCTGGTTCGCAGTAAATATTTTTAAGCATGGACTACTTTTTATATTGGCCCTTTAGGTTTCGTGAAGGCCTCAGGACGTTGGGTGTTTTTGAGCGTGTCCAAGCGTGTCCAGAGGGCTTCTACTCAGTTTTCTGTGACCCAGTAGAAAGGATGACTGCTGAGGCCATGTTTTCCCTTCTCACCCCTCAATTTTCTGAAGAAGAAGAGCAGAAGGCAAAAGAAGACATGACTTTAGGTTTTTGGAAGCATTACCTACATGAGTGCGAAGGTATTTGTTTTTGATTTATTGATTTATTTCTTTGTTTAAACATTTTAATTTAATAGTGCCTTGGGGGTAGGAGTGGACAATATGGCAAAAAATGGCGGCAACAGCCTCCACTCTTCTGGAAAGGTGTTCCACAAGATTTTGGAATGTGTCTGTAGGAATTTTCTGCCCATTTAGTGAAAAGAGCATTTATGAGGTCAGGCACTAATGTTGGACAGGAAGGCTTAGCTTGCCATCAACATTCCAATTTATCCTAAAGGTGTTCAGTGGAGTTGAGGTCAGGGCTCTGTGCAGGCCACTAGTGTTTCCCACACCAAACTCATCAAACCATGTCTTTATGGACCCCGCTTTGTGCATAGGGCACAGTCTTTTTGAAGCAAGAGAGGGCCTTCCCCAAACTGTTGCTGCCGAGTTGGAAGCATATAATTGTCTAAAAGTTGTGCTGTAGCATTAACATCGTAGCACTTCACTGGAACTAACGAGCCTAGCCCAAACCCTGAAAACAGCCCCAGACTATTATCCCTCCTCTACCAAACTTTACTGGTGGCACGCTTTACACCACTCCAGCAGGTGCTTGGCATTGTACAGTAATCTTAGGCTTAAGTAGTTCGTGAAGCTCCTGAAGCTCGTTTTTTTTGTGCTGATGTTGCTTTAGAGACAGCGAGTGATGCAACAGAAGATAGGTGATTTATTGTTGCTTTTATGTGCTGTGCTTCAGCGCTCTGCGGGCCCTGCTCTTTGAGTTTGCCTGGTCTGCTGCTTTGTGGCTGGGTTGTTGTTTTTACTTCTAGCCACTTTCACAATAATAGCACTTACAGATGATCAGGCAGATCGAAACAGGGCATAAATTTAAAGTTAAACATTGCCACGTTTTAAGTCACTTAAGTTATGCACTGTATTGCCAATGTTTGTACATGGCCATGTGCTTAATTTTATACACCTGTTAGCAATGGATGTTGCTAAAACACCTGAACCCAATAGTTAAGAGGTGCGTCCACAAACCTTTGGTCATATAGTGTACTTCAAGAAATTTACATGATATGTCACAATATTTTTCTGATGACTGATCAGTTGGAACAGACAAAGAAAAGTACCAGTAATGCTACACTTATAAAAAGACTGTAAATACCACCATTCTATGCAATATTTACATCATGCACTGCAATTATGCTCTCTTTGTAATGAAGTATGCAGGTTGTCAGAAGTACTGAAGATTTCCACAATATGCTCAGAAATACTATTGTATTGTGACATCATTTATAACGATAACAATAAAAATAATTGGTCAGCCCTGCTTTGAGGTCATCAGTTCCAGTATTTGACATTAAGCACAGTTCATAAGAGGACTGAGCAGTTGAGTTTGATGTGTTTGGTCAAAAAAATCACTAAACTGTGCTGTATCCCAGCCCTCAAGGTCTGGAGTTGAAGACGTCTGCTTAACACTACTACAAACTGTGCTAGTTTGAAAAGTTTTCTTGATTCTAGTGCTACATTCTTTTTTTTCTAGCAGCGTTTAAAATCGTCTTCAATTTCTTCTTTTGTTCCAGACGGACAGTGTGCAGCATCACTAGAGGATATTCTCATCTTTGCCACTGCTGCTGATGTGATCCCTGCCATTGGCTTCAACCCTGCACCTTTGTTATCGTTCTTTACCCCACTAGACTCCTCATGTGCCTTTCCTCAAAGCCACCCTGAAGCTAACCACCTCATTCTACCTGTGCTCCCTTCCTACAAGCTTTTCAAAAAGCACTTGGAATACGCTGTGTGTCAGCTATCAGTGATGCAGGCCATTTGAACCCTGGGAAGTTCCCTGAATTTATGGGTCAGAGCTGAAACAAATGCAGACTATAATGGTGCTAATGATCTAAATGTCTGTTTGAAATGGTTAATCTGTGACACATCTATGTGTTAAGACTATCCAGTGCACATGTTTCTCCTCTAAAACCCTGCAGTGGGAAAAATACTGAAAAACTCATTTCTTTATTTGCAAGTGCTCCTAAAAAGTGTTAGAAAGTGAGTAACAGGAATACTCAACAAAGGCAGCTTTTGCATTACTATTACTGGACATTATGGTAATGTTTTGCTTTGCAATTTCTGCCTATTATGCAAAAAAACAAAGTAACTGGGTTATTGTTGCTAGTAGATCGCTGATGTTTCGATGTAGCATTGCTGTATTCACAACAAACTTTTTTTGCAATAGAAAATCATATTGCAGAAGTTTTCTTAAAATAAATGAAAGGTTTCACTTATTTTTTTCTCCACAAATTCACTCTGGCACTGACTAAAATATCTTCTGTCGTGTTAGGCAATTAAGTTGTGTCCTGATAGCTATGATGAGGGTTTTTTGGGTTGTTTTTTCCTTTGTGACCATACTTGAAACATGGGTGAGTTACCAAAGATCTTGAGATTGCTATTGATGTAGCTGTTAGTTATAGCTAAAAAAAAAAAGACAGAATAGCATTTTATAAAAATACAAAATAGCTATGGAGATGTTATGCTTCTTTTGTAACAGTACAAATAGAGCTTGCTTCTGGACTAAATCCATGTAATGGAGCAAAAGTGAAAACTTGAGATTTGTGATATATACATATGTATTTTAAACCCAGTATAGTATACCTATATTTGCCTTTTTTGTTGTTTTTTTATTTGTTTTGGGTTTTTTTTTTGTTTTTTTTTTAATAAAAAGTGTACATATTCTTTCTCATATACAAAAATATTTACAGTTCTGGACAGAAATCGACAATTTGTCTTTATTGTCTCCAGTTTCTAATTTTAAGCTTCTCCACAGGTTCACAATAGTGCCACTTTTGAAAAAAGGTGAATGCCTTCTGTGACTGTAATATGTCTTTTCAAATAAAAGCATTAAGTAGCACCTCAGCAAGGATCTTTTGCCACAGGTCTTTATTGAGCACTGAATCAGTAGACAACTCCACAGAAAAAACAGATGAGTCAGGGGTGTTTCACAAAAACAGGACATGGTACATCTGGTGTTGACCAGTCAGATTCTGTTTGATTCTGAGTTCTATTCTTATTTTCTGTAAATAGTTAAAGTATGCAGCATTTTTTTTTTCTTTTCTTGTTACATAGGAAAACATGACTGTAGAGGCCCTGGATGGCTTTTATCTAACACAGTTTAGTGGGTCCTCTGGTCAAACACACCCACTAAATCTAGCTGTTAAGATGAGTGTCATCTTAACAGCTAGAGCAGAGAAATTACCAAACTGCGCTGGACACTGACCGTCCAGGACCAGAGTTGTGCACCCCTGCTGTAGAGGTTCTCTGCTCAAACATGCGTTGTCTCGTGCTGAGGGCTTAGAGCGACATACTTATGCAAGTAACAATGTTCCAGCGTACTGTGGTTGAAAGAAAAACAATTGTCTCGTTTGTCTTTTTTTCTTGTTAAATCAATTTCTGGGGAAAAAAAAAGTGAAAGACAAATCTAGTGGCAACCCTTACAGAGCATCAGCTTTTTGCCAAATCCTCAGGTCTTTTTCATCTCTGAAATGATTCACAGCCTTTATATCGTCTTATGTTTAAAAAGCATGAGATGAAACAGCTTGAAAATGCTACCTATGTGTGGTGTCTATTTATTAAAGGCTTCCATTCTTTTGTAATTGGAATTCCATGAATATGGGTATCTGAATATAGCTATTAATATAGTGTAGTAATTAGTGTGAAACTGTAAATTGTCAAAGTGTTCACTGTTTTAAAGAAATCTCAACATTGACGAATTAAATTATTAAAACAAAGGAAAATAACTATTTTTACTGCAATCATTACCAAAAACCTGATGGATTGTATGCTAACCATTCCCACCAAAACTTAAAAGTCGATGACATTATCATTTTAATGAAAGAATTACACATATGGATCATGAAGTTACCCCATGAAAAAACTTAAATGGTTTGGTTTTGTTACGGTTTTCAATGAAATGTAATTATTTTACCTTTTGCCAGCCTGTCAAAAGAATGACCTGAAAAGATATTCCAGTTCTTGTTTTCATGGTGGTGGACAAAGCTGTCTAACACACTGGTCCAAAATCTTACAGGTGTTCAAATGGATTGAGTTGTGGTGACTATAAAGGCTACAGCATATGATTTACATCGTTTACTTACTCATCAAACTTAATGGGGGTGCTGTCATCATGGAAGACATCACTCCCATCAGGGTAGATATGGCTCATGATGGGGATCAGTCAAAAACGCAATACCAGAACCACCAGACCCCACCTCAATGTAGGAGTCAGGTATTCAGACCTGTACTGTTCTTTTTGTGTACACAGCACATACACTCGCTCTGTACACTCACAGTATTACACATCTTTGTAGATCAGTGCCTGTTGATTATGGGTGGGGGTGACATGGGTTTTGTATAATGTCCTGTCTCCTGTCTGCAAAATGGCCTGAAATGAATTATCTTGATAAAATTATCCCAAGAAAATTACATCGAGACAATCATCATTTTTTATTATACTTAATTTGATAAATAAATCTCAGGTCATTTTGCAGAAAGGATGCTTTTTAAATAAATATAGGAAAAACCCAGGTCTTTTTCCCTCATGTCCTTTCGAGGGTTTCATACAAATATGCATTCGTCTTGTAATGAGGGGTTTACATACCTAAACACTACTATAATATCGCTCTCTGTGTAGTAGTGGATGGACTGTTCTTGTTGGCACAGTCGGATTCCTGCATTGACATTCTCAGTTTGCTGATGAACAGTTGCTCTTCTGGGTTTTTTTTCTCCTTACACATCGCACTAACGCACGAACATAACGGTCACTGAATGTGCGCTTTCGACCACAGGTTCCTACGCTTCCTAACATCTGAGGTTTGGTCAGAGCAGGCGCGGAATTTTCGCTTATTTCTGTCTCCGCCGTTAGGTGGCGCTTTGCTGCTTCCCCGCGCTGCCACGTCACCCAGCGACTCATCACTGCATAAATAGTAAAGATGGCGGCGTCCATCCGGGAAAAACAGACAGGTCTGTTAATTACTTTTTAGATTAACCAGCTGTGTAATTTATTCGAATGTGTTTAAACGCACACGTTTATATCAGCGGCCTCTGTAAAACCCGCCGATAATGAACTCAGGAATTCATACACGGAGCTAACCAGCTAGCATTATGGTCAATATCTCTACGGCCGAGTTGACTAGCCAGTCAGCGTTTACTCACGTACTTTGTCGTGAAAACATTAACTGAATATACGCATAGACTGATAATTGATTTAAACTTGATTATTGAGTATTTAAAAAAGCAAACTGATGTCTGTCATACGTAGAGAGCTAACTACTGTGCTGAATTACTTGTAAGGTAGCTAGCGTTACAGGCTACTGAGCTAGCTGTATTAGAGAGAGGAAATAGTACTCGTTATTTCACTTCACAGTTATGAAGGTAAAGTTAAAGCTGCTATAAAAAAAGGTTGCAGATTCTAAAGCCTTATCAATTTCTTGTTGGAACGACTCTCCACAAACATACAATAAATTGGAAGTCTAGAGCGCTCACTGTCTAAATTAGGAACCCTACATTATAAAATCTATTTTACCTTAAAAAGCTGAGAAATAACTGACAGTTAGGCAGGAGTACAAATTTCGGGTTAATGTAAAAGTTCAGTTACAATGTCCCACTATGCTGTTACGTTCTTACCCCCTGGTTTATTTAGCTAATGTTTGTACAGCTTTTAACTATGTTATTGTTTTGAGCACGTTCAGAGCTCATGATTGAGGTCGCAATGACATTCTTTTATAGTGCTAAAGGGTCCATGATTTGCCTGTGTAAAAAAATCAAGAGGACATCAAATGCATGATGCCATTAGGACCGCCAAATAAAAAATACGAGTCCAGAAATGAAAGAAGACTGCTGTGCCATTACATAAAGAGCCATCAGGAAAGTTTTATCCACAAAATGTGTAACCACCAATGCTATTATTGCAATTAAAATGGTATTCAGAACACTCATTCATGTATTGCCTCATACATGCATTGTTTTTTCTTAAAACAAAACCATTATAGTATTGTAAACGACAAAAAAATTAGGGAAGTATGGTGATATTAATTTTTAATATTGGCACATGACTACTTTGCACTCACTCACATAGCCATGCAGCTTCATGTTGTTATACTCATAATCACTTATACTTGTCAAGATAACTGAGCTAAGTTGCTTTTTGCTGTCTTCTTACATTTATCATAAATTAATGTTTCCAGCTGCATAGCATAAAATTCCTAGTCTGTCTATATGCAGCTTGTGCTCTGATCAGTGTCCTTCTGAATTTTTCATTAATGACTAATGGTTAATTTATTTTTCCTCAGCTGCATTGAAGCGAATGCTGAACTTCAATGCTCCTCCCTTGAAAAACACAGCAGCTGAGCCAGTATGGAAGGTAGTGGCTCTTTCTTGTCCACAATATTAGGGGCTATTGAATATCTCATCTATTTATAAGTAGCATATAGCATATAGCTCACCGTTCTGTTTTCTTGTCTAATTAGGTCCTTATTTATGACCGCTTTGGCCAAGATATCATCTCTCCCCTTCTATCTGTGAAAGAGTTAAGAGACATGGGGATCACTCTTCACCTGTAAGGAGCTGAAGTACATCTGGTATTGCTGTGATTTATTTTGTGATTTCTATGTATGTATTTTGTGCTTATTGTCTTTCCTGTTTTGTTCCCAGATTATTGCATTCAGACAGAGATCCCATTCCAGATGTTCCTGCCGTTTACTTTGTGATGCCGACAGAGGAGAATATAGACAGGATATGTCAGGCAAGTGTTAAAACTGTGAAGTTAAATGAATTTGCTTTGTAAACTGCGTCTTTGTCAGTCCATCTCAAAACCTGTAATTCTACTACTTTTGACAGCATCGTGCCAGATTTGTTCATCTGTTGCAACATTTTTCTCACTGGATTACGTTAAAACTTTTAGGATCTGCGGAACCAACTCTATGAGTCCTACTACCTGAACTTTATCTCTGCAATCTCCAGAAGCAAACTGGAGGATATAGCAAGTGCAGCTCTTGCAGCAAATGCTGTGAACCAGGTGACCAAAGTAAGTCATACTCAAAGACTATTTAAGTTTAGATTTATTTTCTTTAAAATTATTTAAAACTCATTTCCGGCGTAATGAATAAGAACCTGTCTGGGAGAGTGAAGTTCAGCATATCTACAGTAGATATCACTACTGCCTCTGTAAGTTTTTAGATGCAAAGCACCTCTTCGAACTGGCTATCAACTCACTGATTTGCTCACTTACTCAAATTTAGCAGGCTGAAAATCTTCCACAAGGGGCATCATTGGCAGTCATATAGCCTTTAATGCTTCATAACAGCAGTGCTTCACATCAGTTACAGTGTGTGTCCTTGTTAAACTAATAGCCACAGTTCATTGTGCACCTTAATGTAGGGCCAAACAATTTTGTGAAAATATCTAATTCAGATTTTTCTGAACAATATTGTGATTGCAATTTAAATGCAATTATCTTCTATAAATTAAGCTTTAGTTTTTTTCCCCACCTAGAAGATTATCACATCCATTTGGGTCATTCCATACCAACTCAGCTAGCCATCCCAGTTCATGTCATGGACTTTCTTAAAAATATCATCGAAGTTCGTGGGGCCTTACTAGATCCTATAGCTCTACTCCAAGTACTTTTTAGTTATGAATACCTGAAGTCTTTGTATGTGCACTCTAAGCCTCATTAGTTGCTTATTTTTCACCATATTGGGTTGAAATTTGTAGTAAACATCCAAGAAACCCTAAGCATAATCTGAAACATGTATTCTTGCAAAACGTTGTTTCTGAATGTTTCACAGTAATCAAATTATAAAAATAAATATTTTTGCTGGAACAAAGAATCTTTAATTTTCAAAAAATTAATAGATCCACTAGTTTCTTGCAACCATATTTTTGATTCTGTGCAGGATTAATATAGTTCTGTTACATCTAGAACTTATTTGGTCCTGCCCAAAAAAAAAAAAAATACCACAGATCCACAGAAAGATAATTTGAATTTGCTTTAAACTTTTTTTATGAGAAGGTGTTAATACTCATTGCAGATG